TACATAATACTTCATGGTTGTCCATGTCAAATGCCTTACTGTAATCTAACATCACCAATACGGTCACCATACCATCATCCATGAACTTGACTATATCGCTAGTTACTTTTATAAGCGCTGTGGATGTGTTATGTAGTTTTCTGAATCCCGAGTTTGTATCGGGAAGGACTTCATTTACTTCTAGATGGTCACGAAGTTGGTCAGCTACCACTTTCTCTGCAAGCTTGGACATCACAGGTAAGGTGCTTACTGGTCTCAAATCCTTCATCTGTATAGCGTTATTGACTTTTGCTAGTGGCGTTACAACTGATTTCTTCCATAATGTTGGTACTTCTCCTGGGTTCAGGGATTGATTTATGATATTCGTTATTTCACTTTTGCAAAAAGAAAATACATTTTTCAGCATGCTTGTGGTAATACCATCTATACCAGCAGCATTTGATTTCACTTCTCTCAGTTTCTTTTCAATATCATCAGATGTAACTAGATGGAACGAACTTTTACTTACGAGTGACTTTTTCTGCCCAGATAAAGCGTTAAGAAATAACTCATCAGGTTGAATGGTTGGCAACGAGTTCACAAAGTGATTGTTGATATCTTCTGCGTCTTCAATGCCCTGAGATATCGGATTAGAGGATTTTTGATGAATATTCCATTTAGCGAAGTCTTTCCATAGTTGCTTGGGATTATTCCTGTTCTTATTTAGTTGATATTTTATATAAGCTGTTTTTTCATTCCTTAAAGCCACATCTGAGTAATTTCTAAGATCGTTATAAAACAATCGATCTGTTTCAGATCTAGTTCTTTTAAATTTATTGTAAGCTTTTCGTTTTAAATTTATTATACATTTTATTGTATAGGTGACGTATGGCCTGTAGAACTTATGAGGTGTAATTCTTTTCATCGGAGCATGTATGTCATACAGCAAGGTAATGTTCTCAGTAAGATGGAGGACGTTATCATCAAGACTTTGTAGATTATTTATATCATGCCAGTTCACAGCAGTTGCATCCTCAGCAAATTCGTCATAATTAAAGTGGGAAAAGTTACGACAATAAAATGTTGTAGCAGTGTATTCTGGAATTTCAATCTTCAATTCACAGAAGCATAACCTGTGATCAGTTATAATATATCCCATGCCTATAGTGCACATGCAATGTATTTGATACAAAAATTACATCAATCCTTGTAGCTGAATTCTTGTTAATTCTTGTGGGTTCATTAATAACCTAAACGGGATTGAATAATGCCATGGTTTGAAAAAAATTTTTACTGGGATTGGAAGACTTATCGATGAAGTCAATATTCACATCGCCCATCAGTATAACTTCATCATGGGTAATAAATATAGAAGCAAGGTTATTCTCAAGGCTAGAAAGTAGACTTAATGCAATAGATGGCGGTCTATAGATAACACCTATCGCAATGGTCTTATTATTTAAATTTAGCGATAACCACATTTGTTCAATGCCATTTGAAGAAATGTTGTTACAATCTACGACTTTAAATTTTATGTTGGTCTGGATGTAAAAACATACTCCACCTCCTCTTTCTTCTCTGTCATTTCTAATCAGCTGGTATTTTGGCAGAGTAATTAAATCCGAAGGAAAATCATGTGTAAGCCAAGTCTCTGTTAGTGCTATAATATGAAGGCTCTGCTCTAGTATAACGTCTGAAAACATATCAAAGCTAGGAATAAGTGATCGAATATTCACATGTGCTACGTTTAGCGTACTACAATTTTTCGTGACGCCTTCACTGTGAGCAATGATTGGACTCTTCGATGAATTTTCTGACTTGTCCTTTGATTGCTATATAGAGTAATTTATGTTGCTTCTTGCTGTTTCAAGCTTCTTCCTCATTACTGTGCAATTTACTTTGTCAAAAGCAGAATGATCAATCTTTAAATTCAACTTAAATTTATTATTAAGTTCCAAGCAATTTGGGCAAGATATATTTGATTTCCTGCATATATCTGCTTTATGTCCTCTCTCACCGCATTTTAAACAGAACAGCAGGTTTTAAAACTTTCAGAATATCTTTTTTTGTTTGCATGACTTGTTGTACTTCTTTTGGTTTTATAATAATGCTGTTAGAACTTGTATTTCCCTTTTTCACCACTGAACTATATGACGGTTTCAAAGCTTCTGTTCTGTTGATATAAGTATCTTGATCAGTGTTTTATTCTTTCTTACCATTGGTTCTGCAACTGATTGTTGCAATTTTTTCATACAGTAAGGAAATTTTTTCGTATAGCTCCTTTATTATTATGTCTTTTGCCAGAATTATTTCATCTTTGGATAGGATGATTTGTTCTTTTGCTTTTATGATGTCATTTAATAATACCTCCTCCTTATTACTGTTACATTGTATTGCTTTTCCTTCTTTTTCATTTTCTTCCTCTCCTTCTTAATGATTTTGATTTTTATTTTTCTTTCTTACACCTTGACTCATATCAAATGCGGTACTGTTTTTCCTTCTATAATGTTCTTTTTCTTGCCTTCAGCCTAGTTATATCCTACTGCTTTGTCCTTAGCGCCCTGCGGATACTGACTCGTGCGACTTTTACAATTTCTGACACAAATGTCACAGAATATATGGGTCAAAATGGTTAAAAATCACTCTGCGGCTCCAGAGTACACCACCAACAGTTCCACGGACGCGATTCTTTCCGATATCAAATTGAATGCTACTGCTTTAAATTATCTTCAAGTCTTGTGTGAGATATTCAGGTATTTATAGCGATCTGAATGACTGATGTGATCTATACTATACTATCTTTTTTATGTTCAGCAATTGCCGTGAACTGTATTGCAATATAAATACAAAGTTAGAGTGTCTGCATTTTCCTAGGACTTCTCTGATTTCTAACCGTGAGCGACAAATGAGGTTTTTGTTTATGGAGATGTAAGCAGCATGACAGACTACTGATGAGTATTGAAAAGAGATGAAACGGACAGGAAGCAAAAAGGATTGGATTATGAGTTATTTAGTCACTTTAGCATTATTTTTAACTTTGGAGCAGGAGCAGTCCCAACTATTATTGGTTTTTTAAGTAAACATTTAACTTTAGGGGGAGTCCGGGAGAGTATACCCACCTTCCACTAAAATGCTTTTAAGTCTTTACACGCTTACAAATCTTCATTTCCGATAAATTATATCTTGGAACGCATTATTTAGCTACATTTTTTCTCAAGAAAGCTTAATGTAGCATTAAGAGTTTACGAGTTATCAACGATTTCTGCCAAGCTGACATTCGGCTAATATCTCCCGCATGGGTGGGAGACTTGACCCCTCGAGTAGGGAGCCTTTACCCTCCACTTTAGGATTAGGCAAAATAATCATTACACATTGTAAATCTATAAATTTAATTAAAAAAATATGGCACATAGTATTACCTGGACCTACTCCATCTTTCACATAACTAGGTAACAAACCTTATAAGTAGTTAAGGCTTAAAAGTAGGTAATACAAATTATTTTTTGGTATGGAATCTTGTACGTTGTCGGCAAAATAAAAATTAGAGTTATTCTCAAAATTAAGAACAAAAATAAAATAATACATAACAAGATAACAAAATCTACTTATAAAATAGTCATACTCTCCATCAGAAACAGGAAGTCAACCTTATAAGTAGTTTAAACTTAAAAACCTTGTATGTTGTCAGTAAAACAAAAATTAAAATAGCTCTCAAAATTAAGAGCAAATATAATAACAACCTTCATCAGTCTTACTTTTTTTAATTGGAGCAATTGGGACAAATAAACTGCTCCTTATCGTCTTTGGATAGTCCAACACACATTTCATGGACATATTTGCCACAAACAGCACAAAGTCTCATGTCCATAACTTTGTCTTCCCCACAGATGAAACAAAACCAATTATCAGTAACATCTGGTACTTCATCCCAGGGACTATCAGAACTATCATCATACTTGGGTTCTTCGTCAAGGTCTGTCTCACTGTCACTTGACTGTAAAACTTGTCTTTTTACTGTCTTTTTCTTTGCTTTGCCTGTTTGCCTTTTCGTAGTTATTTTAATTTTCTTATCTTTCGGTGCATACTTATCATCTTGGTCTAGTTTTTCTGGCGTTTTTGTTAAAATTTTAGTTTTTCCGGGCTGTCTACCACGATGAAGACTTTTTCTAGAAGTAGCTTTTGGAAATGGTCGAATTGTTTGTGGTAAAACTATTTTTGGTGTGTGTCCGGAATCAGAATCTACCGTTGTCATATCCAGAACATTAGATGTAGAAGCTATCTCTGCTGATCGTCTTGGTATTGTATTTGCTTGCTCGGATTCTTCCGCAGTCAAAATTGATGGTGAATTGATTCTAGGAGCTGCAGTTTCATTCGTGAATACTGATACTAATGTTGAAGGCTCTGACTGACGTACAGTAGATGTTGAAGGTAATGCGACCGTGGTTGAATCTGATGGTACTTTTGCAGCGACCGAGGGTGAAGTAATCGAAGAAACATCTTGCTTTTGGAGTTCACTAGTCATTTCTCTATCTGTTACCGCAGAGCATAAAAAGTCGTCATCTGCAAAGATGTCCGGGTTATAGGGGTGTATCCCAGTTGATCGAAATCCACTCAAAATATTGGATAGACTAAAAGCCTGCGACATGATTGTGTTTACAAATCCAGGTATATTGTAGATCGTAACAGTTCGTCCTGGGTTACTGATCATCCAGTTATTCATGGCTGAATTATATCTAGTCTTGAAAGATGAATAGACGGAAACATCTAATGGCTGTAGCTTTCTGCTGCAGTGGGGGGGGTATAGTCAGCAAAGTGACTCCATTTGATTTTGCATATTTAACGACTTCAACACTGATATGACTTTCGTGGTTGTCGAGGATAAGCAGGACTCGGTTATTAAGAGATGCGTTCGAATATTTCACAAAATGCTCCATGAATTTTACGAAACTCTTGGTTGTCATCCATCCACTAGGATAGGAGTCACCATGTGAGCCTGGAGGCCCACCAGCTACAAAGCATTCGTTGTATCTAACCCTAGGGAAAATGAAAAATGGAGGAAGAACATTTCCCAGAGCGTTCACAGCGAAGCAAACGGTCACCAGGCTGCCGCGTTCAGCTGAAGTAACTTGTCCTACTTGACGCATATGCTTGCTCGCTATTACTTTGGGACACTCTTGTACAGTCGTACACCCTGTTTCATCACAGTTAGAGATGTTATGTGCTTCAAATTGGTATTTTTCTCTAACTTCTTTGAGGTTCTCGAAGAAATCAGTAACGTTTTTCTATTGAAGCTGGTTGATCTGGATAAACTGGTGGCTTCTGGGGTTCTCAAACTTAGTTCAGGGTTTCTGGTCATAAATCCCCGGAACCAATCTTTTCCTGCGCAGTTGTTGGAAGTCCAACAATCTGGAACCTTTTTGGAATTCATTGTTGCATATTCATATGCTAGCTGCATAGTCGCCTGTCTGGTTAATCCATAATTCATTTTGCTGCAAGCTATAAGATATTCAACAAGCGCCTTCTCTTCTTCGATTGTAAATATCATAGATGTTTTAAACTGGCTTCCTTGTTCACTTATTTTAGTCAATTTAGACCTGTCTCTTAAATAATTTCTTAAGGTATTTCTGTCAATTCCATATTCCAAAGCAACACCTCGGATAGACTTTCCTTGATCAATGTCACCTAAAGCATTTTTTATTACTGACAGATCTAAATTGCTTCTCTTTCTAGTTGTTTGTTTTTTTCTATAGTTGAAGGGCATTCTCTGAAATAAAATGAATAAAATTTATTGCGGGAGAAACGACCCTGACAGAGAGGGAGAGATTACCCTGGGTAAAGTCTCCTCCCAACGCCAGGGTAATGTCTCCCACTCCACGCCATACTACCAGTTATTAAATTTAAAAAAAAGCTATGACACTTGAATAAAAGCTGGCTGTCGTAAATATGACTAGAATAATTACACTTACGGTGTATATAAGTGGCGTGCTGGAATCTATCCACAGTAAAGAACAGAGATCAAATGTCGAAAACTGAATAAACTCACTTTCCAGGTACGAAAACGTGTTGCCACTTCTTACTTCCAAACCAAACTGCCGATTGTAACGGCGCTACGTGAGCGGGGTGGGAGGTGCCTATGACGTCTGAGAAGTGTGGCAATGTCGTAACATCTCGTGCCACAAATATTCTATGAGCAGCGGCTATTGTCTCCCACCTGCTAGACTCTCCCGGACTCCCCCTACATTCGAAAATTTTTGTTTCTCTACTGAGACTCTAAGAAAATTAAAATATACAAATCCTCATTAAAAATAAATCTCGATGTTCTATGAAAAAATAAACTGTATTCTATTTTCGTGTATACAGGGTGTTAATAAAGTCTGTAGACAAACTTTAAGCAACGAATCCTTGGTCAATTTGAAAACTAAATGTTCATATGAACATGGGTCCGTAACGGCATTCTTTTCGAGCTAGAGCACTATCACTAAAGAAATACGAGTAATGTTCCAAATATTGCTATGAATAATGAAACGTATTTATTGAACAGTTGGTATAACTTATGATAAATTTTGCATATTTTACAAGTTGCTAAGACTCAATATGAACGTAGATGAAAATAGTATTATCCTGTAATTTTGGAAAAACATTATTCAGAAGGTCAATAGTTTTGAACAGTAACATTCGTATAGAACGACAACAATAGAAAATATCCAATAGTTTTTTACAATAAATGTTTAAAGTAGCCACGAATTATTTGAGAAAATAAATTAATTCAATTGTTTTCGGGTACGTCATAGGTCGCTAGATAAGCACAATACTTAAATATTAAAATAAAATTGCGATCAAAACAAATCAATATATACAGGGTGTCCGCAAAGTTGGGGTTTTCCTTTTCAGAAACAACTACCCTTGAAATAACAAAGGTAATGTGTAGTGAAACGAGGGCGACCAAGTAAAAAAAATAAAGGAAAAGGTACTCACTCTCCAGTTGACGAGAAGGGCTAAGTACGTCTCTGCCCGAAATCATACCGCTCCAACAGAAAATGAAATCAGCTGATGCGCTACCGAGCAGACGCAGGCAAAGAAGGAAGTCAAAATGTTTCGTAAAAAGTCTAGGTATTGCATCCCGTCCAATCGATTTGGGAGAATAAATGGTCCAATGAGCATACCGTTCACCATGCCAGCCCAAACATTCACCGAAAATGTTTGTTGAAAATGACCAAACATGAGTGTTGCGAAAGTTATTCACCCCATTACGCGTGAACGTAGATTCGTCTGTCACCAATATGCACTCCAAAAAGTCCAGATTATTGTCATGTTGATGCAACAACCACTCACAAAACCGCATTCTTGCTGGAAAATCGTCAGGTTGAAGGGCTTGTACACGTTGGACGTGAAACGGATACAGCCCCTCTTCACGCAGCGTTTGCCACACTTTAGTTTTTGATACTTGCACTTCTCTAGCCACGTCTCTAGTGCTTGTTGTTTTTTGAAACGCAATCCATTATACGAGTTGGTTTACCTCTACACGCGTGACCGTAACCGTCGGTTGAAGGTTGCATACTAACCTGACACACTGACCCCGACCCAGTTCTGCCGTCGGGTTGAGACCTTGTAACAGTCGGGGATACCGCGGCGGGTCGCGGCTACAGGACGGTATTCAGATATTTTTGATGTTGCAGAGCCCTTTATCTCGGTTCCCTTAAGACATTGGTGTATATGGTACTAAGAAAAATTGCTTATGTTTTCAAGATCTACACGTCGTGTAAAGGAAAACCCCAACTTTGCGGACACCCTGTATATATATATACTTTGAAGTTGAGTCATTAATTTTCAGATAATGATTGTAGAAGGAAGATAAACCAAAATATGTGTGTAAAAATGAAAAAAAATTAAAAAAAAATGTTTACCTTGTTTTATAAAGTATCCTCCCGACAAGTATTTCAGTGCGGACCTGTATTTGATCGTGAGGTCCCCTGTGAGGTCTTAAGTCACCTGATTCACGAGTCCGTTGTACTACATTAACAAAGGCACGAGGGGTTGGTTGCACTCGATTGGGAAACCGATCCGCATAAACATGTGCCATTTTTTATTTAGTTTGAGCCACGCAACAGATACCACTATTCACTGACACTGACTGTATACAAATGAATGAAATAATTGTAAAAAGCATCGTTCCAAATTCTTTCGCTTTTTTGTTTCCGATGCGATGAACCGATACGGCGGATTATATCCGTTGTCGCCAAACACGACCACATAATATTATTATTGAGACAGGGCGGTACTCAAACTTCCAAAGGGCTATAACTTTGTTACTTTAATTTTACCAGGAAAATGGTAAAGGAAAAAACATTTCTTTTGATCAGATCTACTCACTGTTAAAATAAATGACTCAAAGTCACCCTGTATATATATACAGGGTGACTTCGAAGTTGAGTCATTAATTTTCAGATAATGATTGTAGAAGGAAGATAAACCAAAATGTGTGTAATAATAAAAAAAATTAAAAAATTTTTTTTACCTTGTTTTATAAAGTATCCTCCCGACAAGTATTTCAGTGCGGACCTGTATTTGATCGTGAGGTCTTGGAGCACCGGCATGCAGTCCCCTGTGTGGTCTTAAGTCACCTGATTCACGAGCCCGTTGTACTACATTAACAAAGGCACGAGGGGTTGGTTGCACTCGATCCGCATAAACATGTGCCATTTTTTATTTCGTTTGAGCCACGCAACAGACACTACTATTATACGATACGGCGGATTTTATCCGTTGTCGCCAAATACGGGTACATAATATTATTATTGAGACAGGGCGGTACTCAAACTTCCAAAAGGCTATAACTTTGTTACTTTAATTTTACCAGAAAAATGGTAAAGGAAAAAACATTTCTTTTGATCAGATCTACTCACTGTTAAAATAAATGACTCAACTTCGAAGTATATATATATTTATATATTTATATATATATTTATATATATATTTCATAAAATAATAACATCATTGTTAAAGGGAAAATCAATTAAATTCATAAACAGCTGATTAAGACGAAATAGATACACCTCGATTGATTTGAATGCGGTAGAATTTCTTCTGGCAAAGAGGATTCTTCTGCAGACATTGCTCCTGATATCTATATTATTTGATCATATAAGTCACAAGAAGATTTAAACTTCATACTAATGCAGTAAACAATCTGGCGTAAAAATACTATACAATGTTTGAGTGTCAGTGATGTCTAGCAGAGGTACGGACAGATGTATCACTTTGCGCGATTTTTCCTCACTAGGTCCTTCTAATCCCATACTATACCATACTCCACACTCAATTACTCCTGCTGGCAAATAGGACGGAAACCAAGACTGGAACTAAAATTATCCTTTAATATTTTTTTTGAATTCCATAGGATGGTTCAACGATTTCACTTTTACCGTGAGAATGAATGCGGAAAGTTAGCTAACACCCAACAGCTGGAGAATATATGTTGCATCTTCTCTGCGGAGCTTTGTTGATCTATTCATATGCATTAGTAAGATTTGTTGCACATTGTGCATTGCAAAACAGAACGTTGGCATTTGAGCAGCATTAATTACTGAGGCTAATGGATTGCTGGTCAGTCACAGCGAAATAAAATATAGGGTGTTCCACGAATAATCAATTGCTCGAAAAATAAGTCGTCAGATTGTGCTCAAGACGATAAAAGTAAGAAATAATCTTCGGAATTCCATAATCTTATTTATCTATATAATATATCTCGAATATGAAGTTTGTCAAATTGTATCGCAAAGATGCAAGCACAGGGAAAATTAATACCATATAATATGTTTATCAGTAAAGGGAAATACAAAAACGGGTAGATATAAATATTTTGTTCGTATACATAAAATGGGATTCGATTATTAATTCTAAATTAGAAATTGTGCAAGATACAGCATTTAAAATAAGCAACTTGGCACATACTCCCAGTTCAACCATATGTGCCACCAGTTTGAAAATATTTTTGCCGCATTGTGTTAATCAGTTGTAGCATGATTCCAATTTTCTTTAGTTGGCAAAAACCCACTTTTTGACTATTTGTTCTGCGCAGTCCTTCCTGGGACATCCAGTAGGGCTGCAGCGATTGATTAGTCAAACTGTTTATGTAAGACAGATATGAAAATTTGGGTCAGTTGTATAGCTGATAGGTGCAATTCGTCTGGAGTATTTTCAGAATGGTAGCACCTTCGTTTGTACCGGAAGTAGATATGAACTTGTCTATTTCAAATACAACATCCTAAATATTATTCAAAAGGGATTTTTACCTTTCCCGTCAATTATACTCGAAACCAACTCTTTGAGTAATAGATCGCTGCACTTCTATGTGGGACACCCTGTGTATGTATATTTGGCAAAGATGAGGTATATTGTCTAGAAAGCAGAATTTATTATGTATTATATGGACCAATAAGAAATTACATATAATATGGCGATCGATGATGTGCATTTTGCAGATATGTAGGACTATTTATGTTCCTTTGAGGGATACTTCGTATGCAGTAAGTAAACAAGAGATATACTATGACAATAACATGAAATACAATTTAATCCAAATGTATATGATGGTATCGATAATGGTAAACCTGTCTAGTACCTCCTTATTGGCGACTGAGAAGGTGTCAAGATGGACCTGGTTATTGGGCGGTCATATTTTTTAATGTACTTCGCTTCCGTTTAAAGATTTTAAAGTTCAAATCAAGAAAATTCTTATTAATAACTCATTTTACACGTTTGAAGAGTTTTTAAGATATAAATTTTAACTATAAATCTTAATATGTTATGTTAGCGTTATATCTTTATGAGTGCTGGTGTACTTGTTTGTAATTTTTTATGATCATTAGCACTCCCTTTGTTTTAATTCTAATGCAATGCTCATTTGATCTACTGACGTATGTAAACATATTTTATGTATTGTGACATGAATAAAGAATTTAAAAAAAAGTACAAGTCTTTTCCACATCCACAACACTTTCATCAAAATTTCAACTTATCTTCACGCGCGAAGAAAGGGAATATTCTAAAATTATACTCGTAAAGCAGTAAATTCCAAAATACGTGGAATCAATCAAAAATAGTCTTACTAGTCACAATTTTTGTCCGATTAGCTCACACTTCGATAAGGGTACAGTACTTCTACGTGTTCTGAAGTGCATTGTTGTATGATGGTACACTATCTTATAGATAGTTGGCCTTCTCCGTAGAACGGGTAAGTACTACC